TGAAGTAATAAGGTAACTATTCATCAATGAATAGTCTAAACCCAATCATAGTTTAGGATTTTTAACATTTACGAGTTGACGGAAGGACTAACATCGCAATACTAGGGACTAATATCAAAATATGAAGATGTTGGGGATTAATATCAAAATATCGATGATTTAAGTGCCTAATATTGAAAAAAAATATTTTTTTTTCATGGAAAACCATCTTAACTTTCGTCCAAATTCAACTTACTACCTTAGTTTTTTTTTCTTTATGAAAACAACCTACATTTGCCAACACATTCTCAATGTCACACATTTTTATTGTTCTGCTAAAAAAACACTCAAAATGCATTTTATCCTTAGCCCTCTTCTCCCCTCCTACATCTTCTTCCTCCTCCCTACGTATGGAGCACCATATTTGATTTACTGTTTATGCTACAACTTTTTTAGTAAAATACTGTAGCATGAACAATAACTTCGAGCGGAGAGGGCTAGATTCTATTTACTGTTCATGCTGCAGTATTTACTATAACATGAACAGTATTGTATAATTTTATTTATATTTTTTAATATATGAAAAAACAATCTTAACTTTTGTCTAAATTGTAACTTGTCGTCTTAATTTTTTGATAGAAACCACCACATTTGCTGACATGTTCTCAACGTCACACACTTTGACAAGTTTTGGTGAACAAAGTCCTAAAATGCTTGTTTTGCCCGCGCCATATTCTTCTCTATCCATCTGTTCCCTTCCCAAATCCCAACCCTAACTCTAACCCTAGCCTCCTTATCCTCCTCATCTCCCCTTCTCCCTCTCCCTCCTCACCCCAACTCCCCTCCCCTCTCCTCCTCCCTCTTCCTCCGCGAGCTTCTCCTCTCCCATATCTCCCCGAGTGGGAGCTACGAGTAACTTTGGGGAGGATGTGGTGGTCATAGAGTGGCATCAGTGTTTGAGGTCGAGTTTTAAAGAAGATTGAGGAGGAAAGGAGGGTGAGAGAGTATGGCCATATCTCCTCCGTGAGTTTCTCCATACGTAAAGTTACTATTCATGCTACAGTATTACCGTATCATAAACAATAAAGCAAATCAAGTGTATTGAAACTTGGGTCATTCTTCAAGTATAGAGGAGTAGATATGATTTCTAAATCAAATATATTAAAACTTAGATCATTCCTTTAAGTATAGATGAGTAGATATGATTTATAATTCTAAGCATACAACAATTAAATTAAATGTATTAAAATTTAGAGGAATGTAAGTTTAAAATGCACGGGTGCACGCTGGGCCGTGACGGGCCCGATACAAGAGCTGAACCAACCGGCCGAGCCAAACTATTAAAAAAAAAAAAAACAACTCTTCCCGAACCCTTAAACCCTAAAAGAAGCTCCCCCAACCGCCCAGGGTTTTCTTCCTCCATCCGTCCGCAATGGCGGCCTCCGAAGAGGAAGTAAAGCTCTTCCGCATCCGCAAGAACATCTTGGAGATGCTCAGCGACCGCGGCTACGTCGTCGCCGACGAGGAGCTCTCCATGGATTTCAAGCAGTTCAGGGATAAGTTCGGCGAATCCTTCAAGCGCGAAGACCTCCTCATAAACAAGTACAAGAGGGACAATCCCTCTGATCAGGTCAGCTCTCTCATTTTTTTTCACTTTGGCACCCCGTAGTTTACTCATTTTTTCACTTTGATACCCCCTCGGATTCTGTTTGATTAAATTTGCAATTGTATTTCGGTTCATTTTACCCGGTCGCTAGGAATCGATAATCGCATGATGCAAATTTAACAGAAAATCTAAAGAATTCTGGACCACGGGTTAGCGGAATGGGATTGAAACTTTAGGATATATCAAAGTATTAAGAAGAGTACTTTGGGGATATCAAAGTAAAAAGAAAAAAAAAGGCTCAACTTTGGGGTACCAAGTCAGAATAAGCCACAGTTCAACAAAAAAAGAAACGTCTGGTGCTATTCAGATGTCTGAAGAATGGAACTCCATTAGTTTCTGAAATCAAGTATGAAGAAAATCTGTGTATTGATGAAACGGGTTTCTTGTAATTCACCCCTTATTGATTTTGCCTAATTTCCCCATGGTTAGATCTATGTCTTCTTCCCCAACGATCCAAAGGTTGGCGCATCTCACATCAAGCGGTATGCTGAGCGGATGAAGCAAGATAGTGTCTTCAAGGCAATTGTGGTCGTTCAACAAATTAGTTCATTTGCAAAAAAGGGTATTCAAGATCAAAGTTTCGCTCAGAAGTTCCGGGTGGAGATTTTTCAGGTGGGTGTCTTTTGAATGCGTAAAGATATGTCCTTTAGTTCACAAGTTGCTCACTGTGGCTTGTGAGAATGCAGGAGGCAGAGTTGGTGGTTAACATCAGCAAGCACATGCTTGTTCCGCCGCATCAAGTGCTCAGTGACAATGAGAAGAAAGCGTTGTTGGAGCGGTACCATCTGAAAGAAACTCAGGTTTTTTTCTCTCAATGTGAATCTTACAGCATGTGGGTTTAGACTTCTAGTGCCTACGTTGTTATCTTGTAGTTGTTTCTTTTTCTGTGGCCATCCTGATAGCATCATTGTTCTGATTAGATTCAATTGCAAACTATAGATTCTTGTTTGAAATTCTAGGAAAGAACCCATGTGTATTTTACACATTATTTCTGTTGATGGTGGAAAATTTCAAGTATAGAAATCCTAATGGGCCACTTTAATGTCTACATCTTTTGTAAGATATAGTACTGTAAAAGTGTGAAGATTTTGCCTATTGGGCCTAGTTATGCTGTAGAGATGAGTGCTTCTTATAGCAACCTTATCATGTTGCATGGATTAAATAGACATGACCAAATAGGCAGGTCTACCTCATCAATTGGCTTCAAGATATTCATGATTGAAGCTATTTGGCACCAGCATGTAGAGGGTTAACATTAATCGTTCATGGATGGGAGTTTAAATTCTTTCATGCCCTTGTCATTGTTGGGGCGTATGAGTCTGGCCTATTCTAAATTGTATAAGATATGGGACCACTGTCATTGATCTAGTAGCGAAAAGCTATCGATATGAACACTGCATTCAATTTGAAGAGGAGCTATATCCAAGTTTAGTTCATGAATTTATGATCCTAAAAAATCTTTGAAATTCTTATGGTCTACAATCATAATCGCGTTCTAGCACATACAAGCTGTAGAAAAAATGGACATAAATTTTGTTTGGACCAAAGTTGTCATCAAGGCTGAAACTTGACTTACTTTGCTTCTAAAGCTTGATATCTTAAGCTAAATTACTAGAAAGGCTAAAGCCTAAAACCTCACCAAGTATTTGATTGTTTGAAGAGGGTATCGATAGTGGTAAAAATGCTTGCTGGTTTTCACATTGCAGCATATGATGGCAGTGGATGGAATTAACTTGAATGAGTTTGCCTATGGATGTAGCCACAGTAGAAGTTGAGGCCATAGTTTATTCTGGTTGGCGGCGGTTGCAACCATGACCCACCTTTATGCATGTCATGAGGGATCCGTGGAGAGCAAAAAGTGAGTGTTTGAATACATGATGAGTCATGAGGATAGTGATGGGATGAAACTCTTGGTTGGAATACTGGCCCCTACCAAATAAATATGATAAAGCAAGGAGTTTAAATTTGATGATTAGTTGTAAAATTTTTGACAATTTTAGAGCAGTGAAAATGCTAACGGGATGGTATGTAATGGATTTAAAAAAAAATGTTAACCCATGACTTGTGGACAAAAAACAGGTGTCCGGTTTGAAATCATGCAGTGGTTCTCTAAATACAGATTTTCTGTCAAACATTTGCTAGTAAATTTTTTATGTGCTCATCATCTTGCATGCTCTCATGTTGGTATATGAAAGAAACTATTCATTTCTATTGCCTTAGTAGTTAGGACAGCCTAAACTTGCTAGATGTTATCCCTAACATGTGAAACTCCCATGAAATGGATCCCTGTACTCCTTTCTGTGATATCATACCGAGCTCTATATGGCACAACTTATGCTAGATTAAATAGACATTACAAAAAGGTAGCTCTACTTATCAATTGACATCAAAATTTCATGATTCAAGCAATTTGGCATCAGCATGTACAGGATTGACATTTGGTCGAAGCTGTTCATCGTATCTGGTTTAGTTTTCTTCTTTTTTAGAGCTTCTCAACTATGAGGTGTTTTCCATAGTCTAGTGTAATTTAACGTGTGAAGAATGCAATTTGATGGCTAGGTGTTCTAAGGATAATACTGTCATATCATGCCCGCTTTAAATGAATAAGCTGTAGCCCCTCACATTTTTGCCACGCAAATCCATTCTGATAGCATTTTCTAGAAAGATGCTGATTAGATTTCTGTCGCTGGTCCCAGATATTTTGTCCAAATCAGTTATTTTATTTTTCGAGGAGAGTGTACGACCTCTTCTTTGTGTTACATTGATACTGAATATGGTGCCTGGCATCTTGCGCAGATGTCCAACAGAAAAACCTTCAATGATAAGGGGAGACACCTGGTTATCTAGATATGTACAGAAATGAGTATATATATATAAGGGTATGTTCCTGAAAGTCTAAATGAAAATGGGTGCACACTTGTTATGGTTGTCTCACACCATTACGTGACGCGGTTGAAACTTGATTTTCAACGTTTACTACTATAAATACTGATTCCGCATGATTCCACATAAATCGATTATGTATTACTGTTGTTCAGCTGCCCACAATATGAACATGTTTTACAGATAAGTATACTCACTAGCACCAAGGTTTTAAATGTCGGATGTCGGGTTCATGTCGGACGGCTGAAATCCATGTCGGATAGCGAAAATCGGAGATATATAGGAGGACATGGACTAAATATCGGATTGCCATATCGGGTGGTGCTCATATGTATAATATCATGTTCTAAATGTAATCTAAGCATTCCTAAATTCAATATAGGCATACTTTGTAAATTCTAGAGGCGACGCTGGCAATGGGTGGATTCCGACGTCGCAGGGAGGCAGAGTCGACGACGGGACGTCGCAGGGAGGCAGAGCCGACGACGGGACATCACAGGGAGGTAGTGTCGAGGCTCTTCTTCTTATTTTACTTGGGGTCCTTCAGATGAGTAACCGACCACCCTCTTTCTTTTATCCCGACGACAGGATACCATGCCGTCCTCGGGTTCGATTGGGGTTCGGATTTCGGGGCGCAACGGGAGATGGACGATGGGGGGCCGAGATTGAGGTGGAGAAAGGGCATCGTCGTTCACGAAAGGAGTGATGGGTTCCCAAGTCCAATGCAACCTTAATTTTTCTCTTTTCTTTCTATCGGGTTCATAAGAAACCCTTAAACATGAGAACAGGTCAAACAAGTTTGAGTTTTTATCACTAAACCCAAACCCGATAACAAAAATAGATCTAAAAAAAGGTCATATCGGCCGATTTTTCAAAGCTGAAAAATCGGTTGATATGCTTGATATGGCCCCGATATTTCCGATTTGGTCATGAAAACCGATATACGAGTTGAAAACGCCCATGTCGTGTCGCTCAAGCCCTCAAACCGACATGTCGGACATGTCAGCCGACATTTAAAACCTTGACTAGCACACGCTTTCCCAGGGTGTTTAACACAGATAAATGAGGTAATATGTAGAAGATAGAAGTTTTATTGAGTGGCTTTAAAGCCTTTGTGCAAGTTAAAAAGTGAAACTTGGGACTGAAAGGGCTGATCTGTTGTAGGGCATGCCAGCTGGAGTAAAAGAGGTCTACCTTATAATCTCATATAGGTTTTCTTTTGTCTACTGTTTGTGACAAAAAGAGAGTAAACAAGAAATTACAAGAGGCGGATGCGGATGCACTTGGTGATGAACTGGGGTTTCATTAGAAACTTGAATTGCTATGCTAATTCGTTTTTTTTTTGAAAGAATGTGCCACAGAAAAGTGATAAAACTAATGAAATATCCTTACTTGTTAATCTTGTTAATCGCTGGATATAGGGAAGAGTGTCTGCATCCTGGGTACATGTTTTTTTGGCATCTTGGTTCTGTTAAAAGTGGCGACAATTGTTTCCGTGGTAGCCAACCCCACTTTACCCCCACAATGATTTATTTTTATTCGATCTCAAGTGTATCTAATGTTGGAACACGGCCTTGTTGATTTTTCTTTCCTTACTTTAATATTGTGAAACTGTGATCTCAATATTATCCTCTGAACGTCATGGTGTCACTCTTTTTTTCTTTTAACATGTGCCTATCAAAGTTGAAGCAAGTAAAACTTGTTAACTGTTAAGCGGCAGATGTATGGCTCTGACTTGGTTATGGGAGTTCCATGCCCGATACCTGACCACAGCCCGCCTTCATAGAAAAAGGAAAATAAAATAGAAGAATAATAGGTAAACATTGTTAATGCTGATTTAGATGACATACCATCTGTCTACTTTCGAACATCCTATTGGCCAGTGGTATTTTATTTCTTTCATATTTTCTTTCTGGTTCTGATCAATTGGTTTAATCCATTCTTTGCTCAATCTCATGTTCGTTTATCATCCATATTCTATTGCATGTCAGAACACTGCTTTTGGTTACATTTTGAATGTGTATGTTGAAACAATATCACAGTAGTTGCTGTGACTGCCAAATTTGTCCTCATTGTGTATTTTAGCTCATAAACCTAACGAGACATGCTCCAACTATATACGCTTTCTTCTAAAAAAAAGTCTCTTCTAACAAGTTAATGTTCTTTGTCTGTTTGAATGGTTTTCAGCTTCCTCGAATTCAACTCGATGACCCAGTAGCAAGATACCATGGACTCCAACGTGGACAAGTCGTGAAGATCATTCGCCCTAGTGATACTGCAGGCAGATACATTACCTACCGATATGTAGTATGAGTGTCTTATATTTATTTTGACTTTTAAACATTTATAGATATATGCTTGACTTTTAGTTATGGGTGAGGATATAACATTTTTTTAAACTTGCTTAGGCTTGAAAATCTCAAATCCTTGTCACCATCGAAAAGATTTCCGGCTTGGGTTTGCTACCATGTCCACTATTTTTACTGTCCTTTTGCTGTGATAGAGCATGTCATGTCACGTTTAAATTCACTAGCAGTTATAGGATTACTTATGAAACTTATTTGTAGTTCATGCTAGTATTCTCCACTACGTTTTACTTTGGGACTTTACTATGATATTGTTAGCTGAAGACAGTGAAGAGCTATTTCAACAAATTTGTGGACATTCTCTTTTTTAATATGCAACTCGCAATGAAACTTCTGATGATGTTAAGAACATAACCAACCTAACCTGCATCATTTACAAAGAAAGCTCAAGTTCAAAGTGCATCTCAACCTTCAAATTCATTTACATTATATTCATTATTGTTG